AATAAATTGGAACTAGATATGTGTGTGTAGACAAAAAACAAAACAAAAACAGAGTAGATTATTTTTAAAATTACCAAGACGATAGAAGGAAGTAAAGATGGAAAAAAGGGGGACACCAAATAAATTGGAACTAGATATATATGTGTAGACAAAAAACAAAACAAAAACAGAGTAGATTATTTTTAAAATTACCAAGACGATAGAAGGAAGTAAAGATGGAAAAAAGGGGGACACCAAATAAATTGGAACTAGATATATATGTGTAGACAAAAAACAAAACAAAAACAGAGTAGATTATTTTTAAAATTACCAAGACGATAGAAGGAAGTAAAGATGGAAAAAAGGGGGACACCAAATAAATTGGAACTAGATATTGTGTGTGTAGACAAAAAACAAAACAAAAACAGAGTAGATTATTTTTAAAATTACCAAGACGATAGAAGGAAGTAAAGATGGAAAAAAGGGGGACACCAAATAAATTGGAACTAGATATAGTGTGTGTAGACAAAAAACAAAACAAAAACAGAGTAGATTATTTTTATTTTTCTTGATTTTGAGAAAACTTCAGAAACAAATAATTCCAAATAACCGTTTTATCTTCGAAATACCTTTTTATATAACAATTCTTATATAACACGACGACTAATCAAAATAAATTCGTATTTTGTCTTTCGTCGGAACAAGAAACCTCGTCCATTTTAATATTTTCTGCCCATTGCGCTTTCGGATTTATCGTGAATAGTTAAATAAAATAACTTAAAACCTTGTTGGGGAAACAAAATGTAAGGTTGTGTGCTTTAATAACAAAGCTCCTCAAATTGAATAAAAAAATTGAGTATTGAATGCAGCTGGAAACCTGAGGAGTCTGATACTTTTTCCAATTATAAATACGTATATATTCAAACCCTATACCAGGAACGTAAACTCATTCTGATTTTAAAAGATCACGTTTGTTTGAAATTACAATTTAAAATAGTGCTTACATTTTTGAAACATGAACGTTTTGACTGAAATTGACAATGTAGATTTGGAGTGTCATTGGTTGGAGTCCAGACTGACCTGTCGGGAACTTGGCCAATAATGTTGAATCCAGGTCCATCTTACGTTCTCAAAGCATCCGATATCTGTTTTTATATGAGCATTACTAAAGAAGAGAACAGTGCCTTTTTACCAAGTTCTGCTGGAGATGAAACTAAGCCTAAATCCACAGGAAATGAGGATAGCTTTAAAGACTGTGAACTTGAAAATAGGCTAAAAGGAAGGTTAAAATCAGGTAAGTGATGGACGTTACGACCCCTAAACAGGTGTGACTACAGTTTACACATTATTTTTGGTAAAATATAACAAAATTTTCTTTTTAAGTACATCACGAGAACGAACAAAATTTCGAAATTTTAACACGCTGACGTAATTACATTAGGCAAAATGTGTTCATGTCGTCGTTGGTGAAGTTAGACATTTAAATACTGCGTTATGTTGAAATATAAGCAACAGAAAATTAAGCATATGAAAATTCATCAAAAGAGGCGTCTGACTTTAATGTCCTGTTTAAACTTAGGCTTAACTATAGGTAATATACAACGTGTACGTGAGATAAAAATAAGTGAATATATAATATTTATTACATTGTTAAACTAAAATATGTTAAATTTGGTAAAGAAAAAAGGCTTGTTTAAACTTGATTATATTATTATATTTGGTTGCGAATAATATATTCATAGTCATGACTACTATGACGTTCTATGTGACTAGTGTTTTTCTTCTGCGTTCATAATTTAATTTTGTGAATTTCAGAGTATCACAAGCATATGCCCCATGATATTTGTCAGATATTGCTCATTAATTTTTTTGTATATTTTAAAGTAAAAGCTGCACTATAAGCAATTTGTGTTATGTCCACTACAGAAATCGAATCCCGAATTTTAGTGTTATAAGCCTTCACGTTTACCGCTGATCCGCCGAGCGCTGAGGGTCGTGTACAGAAAACTGTACTGTATGTTAATTTTAAGGCTTAAAAATTTCAACAAAGATTTTCAGTGATCTGATACCATCGTTTTAAACGCCTTCTTCTAATACCAAAGTGTAAAAAGAAATCTGTTTGACACACAAGGTGATTATAAAGAAAGTTTTGGATTTTAATATTTGCATCCATATGATATCCTCAACACCCCTCTGTAGTTTCACCTTCCTACGTCATGCCGTTTGTGAAATATGACGTCCTGAATTGCGAAACACACCATATGACATAAGGTGAAATTATACAGAGATGTTAAGAGATCATATGGATGCAAATGTTAAGCTACGGGACTTTCTTTATAATAACCTTCTGTGTCAAACAGATTTTCTTATTATGCTTTGTTACTACGTTAATGTGACGAACGTGTTTACAAAGATGATATTAGACCTCTAAAAATTTTGGTGAAATGTTTAACACTTAAATCAAACACAGAGATGTATTGATAAATCAGAATATCATTCTAGCAAAGCAAACACTGCTAGGAGATTTGCATAATTCATCAAGGAAGAAGAAGAATATTAAAAACTTTGTAATATCAGAATAAATCTAAGAGCAAGAATTTTAAGAAGCGTTTGTAATTTCAGAGTAAAACATGGAGTAAGAATGTAAAAAACAATTCAGAGTTAATCAAGCAACAATATTGCTAAGAAACGATTGTAATCTCAGAGTTAATCAATAACAATATTGCTAAGAAACGTTTGTAATCTCAGAGTTAATCAAGCAACAATATTGCTAAGAAACGTTTGTAATCTCAGAGTTAATCAAGCAACAATATTGCTAAGAAACGATTGTAATCCCAGAGTTAATCAAGCAACAATATTGCTAAGAAACGTTTATAATCTTAGAGTTAATCAAGTAACAATATTGCTAAGAAACGTTTGTAATCTCAGAGTTAATCAAGCAACAATATTGCTAAGAAACGTTTGTAATCTCAGAGTTAATCAAGCAACGATATTGCTAAGAAACGTTTGTAATCTCAGAGTTAATCAAGCAACAATATTGCTAAGAAACGTTTATAATCTCAGAGTTAATCAAGCAATGAGTCTGTTTGAAGTTAAGCACGAAGCTACACAATGGGCTATCTGTGTTCTGCTCATCACGGGCATCGAAACCCGATTTCTAGCGTTGCAAGCCCACAGACATCCTGCTGTGCCTCTAGGGGGCCTTCATGAGTCCAAAAATTTTTGTAATATTTTACCCAGGCTTTAGCTGAGTTTTTGTAAAATTGTTTGTTAAGCCTCAATGTTTTGTGTTTTTCATAAATAGATACACTAATTTTATAGTTTAATTATATTTATCGTATTATATATTTTTGAACGTATAGTGTGGGTTATCTATTTTTTTTCTACTTTGATTCCACAGACAGTTATTTCGAACTTTCACCTATCAAGTCCAAAATGGCGTTTGGCTTAAATAAAAAGCATCACCTGGAAGTGCCCACGCTGGATGGTGTGGCAGGAATAGACGCCTACTATTCTTCGCAAGGAAGACGTCCTAGTATAGCTCCAGTGCCAGCCATGATGGGTAATGGCGACTTTACACCAGATGATGAAGGTCTTGATGGAACACTGAACGAAGAAGAAGAAAAATATTTGGACATTCCGTGGATTACACCTGCCGAAAACTGCGAGTGAGGACTTACGATATAAAAGTTTCAATATCTTCTACAACTTGAAAACTTGTTATCAACGTGTGTATTAAAATAAATCCGATACTTAGAAATATTTAAGAACAACTATTCACACACTAAGTGTGAATAAGTTCAACTTTCTCTAATTAATTTTTAATACGGTGAAGCGTGTACTTGTGTGTAAAAAAGAGACTAATACTGATACGCTATATGCATATCTGGACTTCTTTCCAGGCATGGCTAGGTGGTTAGGGCGCTTGACTCGTAGTCTGAGGGTCGCGGATTGGAATCCCCGTCCCACCAAACACGCTCGCCCTTTCAGCCGTGGGGGCGTTATAATGTGACGGTCAATCGCAATATTCATTGATAAAAGAGTACCACAAGAGTTGACGGTGGGTGGTGATGACTAGCTGCCTTCCCTCTAGTCTTTCGCTGCTAAATTAGG